GAGCCGAAAGCAGTCGCTTAACCAACTGAGCCACCCAGGCGCCCCAACATCAACTTCTCCTTAAAATAAAGGTATTCCTCCTATTCTGAGGATATATGCCCAATAATATATATTCATTGTCTGAGGATGGTAAGATTGCAATGCAATACTTAGTGCACTTAAATTTAGTCTGTCACTGACTTAGTGATTGTCCAAGTTACTGGATTCTGTTGTCGTTCAAGGTGTGTTCTAAAGAACAGAGAAAGGGCAACTTTTATAATTTGCTACAAAAATGTTAAACAAGTCTTGTATGTAAATAGGTGTGCACTCTAGCAACAAATTATTTGGGTTGGTGAAAAGTAATAGTAACAAACTCATTTCCAGACTTTGTAAGAATTTGTTGATTTTGCCCACAGTTAAAAGTTACTGTCACTAGTTAGGATAACATGCCATATTTTATGACTACAAGTGATGAAAACGGTTTAGTCCGCTAGTCTGTACTGTTTACAGAGCTTTACCAACTAAAATAAAACCTGACAGTTCTAAAATACTTACCACTTCTATAGCCCAAGGCTACCGCTAAATCCATAGAATTATACCCAGAGTCTGTTTCAATGGTTGGGTCAGCTCCATTTTCTGTACCAAAACAGAAAAATCTGCATAAGTAAAATGAAAATGTAGATACGTTTGTCTGTGACTGGCTCATGTGCAACGGCAGGACAGATTTTCAGCAAATTGGGTATTTGCAGGATGGCCTAACAAAGTAAAGAGCACACGAAGTGCACAGAGTTCACTTTGGTGGGTCAGTGGGAGGATGCCTCAAAGAGGAGTCCTCGATAACAGCTGAAACTCATAAACAACTATAGACAGAACTTATGCACAAAGACACCGTGGACAGAGAAAACAATGATGGATTCAGACACAATCTTCAAGAGGAAAGCAACAGGGACAAATGTTCCAAGCACAGGTGTGCTACGGGACGGAGCTGCTTATCACATGGGCAACTCTGTGGTAGCAGGTGCTTCGCAGGATTAAGGTATTTAGTAATAGGTAATGATTCTCCTGAGTAATACCAGGGGAGGCCAGCTTGTAAGGAATTAAAATAAAGTCCTCACATGGTATTTTCCAAATATTTTCACTTTTTTTGGCTTACCTAAGAGCATTTTTACACATTTAACATGATTTCCATGTACAGCATAAAGCAAAGGTGTCCCTCCATTCTGCAAAAGGAAAAGGTGATTTAGTTTTTCAAGGTGAGCAAGAGTTGAATAATGTTTGTGTGAGACGTTTTACTAAGAACTGGGTATGTAAAAGTCGTTTAAGGCAATTTTCATATTTTGTGAAGAATATTTAAATCAGAAGTAATAACTGAGTTTGTACCATTAACTTTTTCTTCCGTGTGTTTAACTAGCTAATTATTTTTCCAGATGTTTAGTAAAATTTATTATGTCTCTCCAAACTAAATAATTCCTAGAATTTATTACAGTATTTTAAAAATCAGTATCATAGACTCACCCAATCATACTCATTTACATCAACTCCACAATCAAGCAGCATTTTGACAATATCTGTGTAGCCTTTACTACAGGCCAATGAGAGTGCACTTTCTCGACCTTTTCCTAAAAGCTGGGGATCAGCACCCTGCAGTGGCAAGTGGAGATAACAGACTTTTCAATTCATGTAAACAAGAATATTGTTATTTCTGTCAATAAGAATTACAGTTCAGTACTTAGGTCAAGTAATGTTCTGGGGTTAATAACGTAAACTTCTACTCATGGATGCCTTTATTATCAGGGTTGTCTGGAGGGCCTTCCTTCCTCCCTCTATCTCAAATGCTAACTATCCTTTCACTCTTAAGTTACACTTCCCCCGTGAAGCTTCTCCTACAGCGCTGACCGTACTTTTGTTCTCATTGCACTCTGAGGGAGCTGGGCATGAAATTCTCTCTTGCTGTTTCATGTATGCTTAGTCTTATTTGCCCAACTAGATCCAAGTTCCCCAAGAATATGAAAAGCGTGCAAAATTTTTTTGGATCCTCTACCATTACATCTAGTTGGCTGGAGATAGAAAATCTTTACTCAAGACTTAAGTAACTATACGTATACATTTCCCGAAGCATTTTCCTTACATTCTGAAGTAGAAACTCTACCACAGCTATTTGCCCGTGTGCTGCAGCCCACATCAGAGGAGTAAATCCTTCTTCATCTGTGTGATTGATAACATTTTCTATTTAAAAGAAAAACAATTTTTGTCATCTAATTTAACAACCATCTATTAATATCATTATGAAAATACTGGCATTCTAAAAGGTGGATTATACCACTCAGTGAGACTCACTTCCTGTTGACTTACTTGCTGAAGTCCTATTATGTGAGTTTGTACCATTAACTTTTTCTCCCACGTGTTTAATTAGCTAAGTTAATTAATTAATAAGTAAAGGTGTACAACAGTCAAACTATGGAAAGAGCCAAGATGTCCATCGACAGATGAATGGATAAAGAAGATGTGGTATATATACACAACGGAATATTATGCAGCCATCCAAAGGAATGAAATCTTGCCATTTGCAAAGACGTGGATGGAACTGGAGGGTATTATGCTGAGCGAAATAAGTCAATCAGAGAAAGACATGTATCATATGATCTCACTGATATGAG